CGCTGTTTGGACGTGGCCATCATAACATCTTATGATTGCACAATTCCATCCATGACTTGCCCCATTGTGTACACCACCGTATCGTACAAGTGTTCGTTTCTTGCATGCTGCGGAACCTATAAGAGCATTCTGCTTGCTTGAAGTGGCGAGGGCGACTGACTGGTTGCAAGATCTGGGACAACACGAGGCATTATATATGATAGCTCTATAGCTGCAGGCCGAATTTTAACTTTCTGCGTCCCCGATGTTCAAACGCTTTGAGCGTCGGCACTAGGACGAGAAAGCTGCCCATCAAATGAGGTCTCCGATCGGCATGCACAAACATCTTTGTAATAATCACAAGCACCGAAGGCTCATCTAAATGCCACCCAACAGAGTGCATTTGAAACCAGGGCTCTCCCATGATCGAAGCCATTCGAATCCAAATACGCTCTCAATGTCCCAGAAGGTCACGTAAAATCAATGTCATTCGTCCCTTGGTAGGCTCAAGTGATTATTCAGTATAGCTTTGCTAGGCTGTGTAGAAAAGCTGGACGAGATGATACGACGTAAAGTTCAAGGCTTCGAGTCTGCGTTGCAGCTGATTGTTTGCTCAGTCATATGTGGCATCGGGTAACGGGCTCGGGACAGCATTCAACGGCGCAGCATGGAGAGCCGGTTTAGCTTTCTTGCCCATTGTTCCGTTTCGTTTCCGCTCCACTTAGCACTTGAAACCCATTGCGCGACCTCCCTGTCGAAAGCGCCCGGGGCCACGGCCTCCTGAGCGGCCTCCTCATCCACAAGGTCTTCATCTTCCTCCGAGATAGTTGGTGGTTTCAGAAGGGGTGCTAACCAAGGATGCTGCAAAAGAGTTGCATAATTCGGACGGAGTTTGGGTATCTTGTTTAGTGTTCTCCTGACAGAAGTCCCTGGCGGCTTCCGAGAATTTATCAGTTGGCAGGTCGGGCGGCTCGCCATCCACAATAGCCTAGGCTTGTCAGATTGTTCTACTTCTCGGCGGCGAGGTCATCTAACTTACACTCAATTGACTGAAAATATTGTCATATGTCTCAGGTGGGTATGGATACTGTCCCAACGCGCATTCAATGATGGTCAAACCAAGACTCCAAATATCGCTTTGTACACTGTAAGTCCCCCGCCTGGATTCGCGCCAGCTTGAGCGACACCTCCCGCCTGAAATTCGTTCGGGCGCCATGTAGCTTTGACAGCCAATGTTTGTCTTTGCAATGCTCGCAACCAGGTTTCCACTAACGCCGAAGTCACAGATCTTGACTTGGCCCCTGGTATTGACTAGAATATTAGTTGGTTTCACATCGCGGTGGATGATATTGTGGTCTTCCTTCAACGACTTGAGACCCATGACCGTAGACATTGTAATCTTCCGAAGAACGCCTTCTGGCACACCGTCTCCGTACAGCTTATCAATCGATCCGCCGTCCATGTATTCCATACATATATAGACAGCGCCTTCTTGGAAGAAGGCCCCGTAGAAATCCACAATAAATGGCGATATGCATCGATGCAGTATATCTAATTCCATGATAATGGCGGCAAACTTGGCCTCGTCTAGCTCCAACCGAATCTCCTTCATAGCCATCACGATACCTGTCGTATTGCCAGGAGTCGCCGATTTGGACAAGTTCCCATTGGACGTATCGTCATTCTTGTTTGCGATCATCGAACTCGCTGCCATCGACGGCAGAGGTCGATTGCCACTTAGACCTTGGCCTGGACGGCGCAGCTGAGGTCGGCTGTGGCGTACTCTGTAGACGGTCCCATAATTTCCTTTCCCTAGCTCTTCCAAGTTGTCGACCTCGTCCAGCGAGATGTTGAAGCTCGTGCCGCTTGAAAAGTCAATACCTTTGCCATGTATTGTAGCTTTGCCCTTGAATTTCAGAGTCCCAGTTTTGGTGTCCACATATTCCGAGTACTTGCTAAATAGCGAGTCACCACCAGAGCCTTGACCCGGGCCTTGGCATTTTCCCGTGGCGGCATCCGAGGCAGGCGCCGTGCCGGCAGGTCCCCCTGAAGGCAGTTGCGGTCCCGAGGCATCAGATAATTTCATCCCTTTGTTGAGACCTCGTTTTGCTGCCAAGCCACCCATTTTAGGATTCGGTTTCAGGCCAGGAACAGCGGGCGCCGAGTTGAAGTTGGGCGCTTGTGGTCGACCAGGGGGAAGTCTAAGCCCCCCAGGTGCACCGATGAGTGGCCCACTGGGACTTGCGATACCAGAAGGTGCTATATTTCCGCCCATTGACCCACTTGGAATGGGTCCGGCAGATGTTGGTATTTGGGTCGTAGAGACGGACTGAGCTCCGACGTTTGGTGGCATGCGTGGATTCACGGGCGGAGGCGCGCCCTGTCTTGACAAATGGAAGGCCTTCATCTTCGCCTGCATGTCTTGAGGAAGCTGACTACCACGAGAGGAACCTAGGGCACTCTGGGGAAGGGTGGGCCTTCGAGCGGCGTTGAGAGTTCCCAGAGGGGTGGAGGAGGCGGTCATATTGGCGGCTGACCGGGTATCACTCGCATTGCGCAACGAAGGCAGACGTGGAGCTTGAGGGTTTGGAGGGGACTGTGCAAAGTCTTCCACTTGCGTTGCGGAATTTTCAGAAGGCAGTGAGCGGGAAGGAAGAGTTGATTCTGGAGGAATTGAGGAGCTCATGGCGGCAACGGAAGGGTTGAGTAGGGGGAGGATGAGAGAGATGAGAATCAATTAGGGCAACGGGCAATCAGGTCATAATATGAAAATGGATTATACTGAGTCGAAAAAGGAAGGTGATAGGCGTTGAGGATGTTTGTTCAAGCATGGAGGTCATGAAAGTCGATGTTATGAAAAATACTCTAGGAGGAGTATATTGTTATTTAAGATGGGTTACTAAGGTAAGTAAACGAAGTGAATCGTGGCTGAAGCTCCGCTTGACTCCCGAGAGGCCGATGATGAAATTCAGTCTTGATCAACAATTCTGTACTCTAATCTCTAATCTTATGTATCTTCTTTTCTTATCCTTTGCATCACCAACTTCACACCACAATGTAGAGAAATGGTACTTGATGGTCGGCTCTGGGTGTATCCCTTGGGCGCTCGTCTCGGCATGCGTCGATGCTTGCGTAGGCTCCCGCAGGAGACTTTGGGTTAATCTTAGGAATAATCACAAGGACCTGACTCCAAACCACTATGCCTGACTCTCTGCGCCTGTATTCCCTGTACTCTACTTGTCTGCAAACATTGGGGAAGGACTGGAAGTGTTATCGTAGTAACCAGCCAGCTGTGCCTGGTTCTTGAGATGCATTTTTGCTTTCCCAGCCTCAAGGGCGCTACATCTAGCCGGGACTACGAGTATTTTAGCGTGATGAGATTTTCGGATCATTTCTTTGCGCCATTCCCAGGCCACAACGATGGTGACGATTTCTGTCTCCCTTTCCTTTTGATACATCCATTGCATACAGATAAATATTCGCTCTTCAGGTTTCTCTCTAGATCACCCTTCAACCCAGGTTCCTTCAAATATTCTGCCTGTTATGATAACCTCCAGATCCTGTACGTGAGGTGTGAGCCGTTGTTTCTTCTTCCGAGTTGGAAAGAGCAAGTGCGGCAGTAAACTCTCTCAAGTCTGTGTGATAGCCAAATCGTCATACCATGCCTTTCTTCACCTCTCCCAATGCCTTCCACAATGCCAATTTCATGGCAACCTCGTTCTCGAATCTCAACATCCCCGCGGTCCCCGGCATGCCGTCTCAGCCTGCAATGAACCAAGCCCAGTTGTCTTCTGGAATGGCAACTCCACTTCCTCCGCACTCCTCACATCCCGCGCTACCTCATCTCACTATGCTTGTCTTCGAAGCGGTCTTAGAGGTGGTTTGTGTCAGCTTGCCCGGCTATATTATAGCCCGCCAGGGCATGTTCACGGCAGAGATGCAGAAGTTTGCTGCCAACCTCAACGTCACCGTCTTTACCCCATGCCTCAGTATGCGTCAGCTCCCCGCTGTGCCATCCAGGTCTAACTGTTGTTATAGTCTTCACCAAGCTAGCCTCCCAACTTACAACAGACAAACTTGCGGACCTTGCCATTATTCCCCTCATTTTTATAGTTCAAACACTCATTTCATACCTCTGTTCCATCGCCGTATCAAAGGCGTTTGGTTTTTCGAAGAGGCCTCGCAACTTTGTGATCGCCATGGGGGTACTTCATCCGGCTCTTCGTCTACGTCAATGTTGCTAAGCGCGTGTTAGGTCTTTGGCAATTCCAATTCGCTGCCAATTTCCTTGGTCTTATCGCTCTCACAGACTATTAAGGGACTACATTGGAACAATGTGCCTGGGGACAACGATGACGAAGTTGCGGCCCGCGGCATACTGTACTTGTTGATCTTTCAACAGCTTGGACAATTAGTCAGATGGAGCTGGGGCTACAACGTCCTGCTTGCGCCAGCGGAGAAGGTCAAGGGTACTGCTGAGAACGCCAACTCGCGCCTTGAGACGGGGGAGGCAGAATTGGGGGGAAAGCGAGCCTCTCATGAGGGGATCATCGACTGATGGAGAAGGAGATGAGCAGGACGTCAGCGGCTCTGATGATACCAGGGTCGAAAGCCGAAAGGCTGGCAAGGGAAATGCAAGCGGCTCCCAATACGGATCCGAATTCAGGTCAGGACAGCAGACGCCGGAGACGCATCGGCAACATACCTCTTCATTCTCCACAGCATGCTCGAGTGGCGGTCTAAGCAAGTCTGGACCAGACCCTGACCTTTTGCCAACCCCAGCCAACGGTAACATAAAACCTGCAGGACGGATGATGTCTTTCCCTTCAGTATGGTCAAAAGCTGATCCGATCGACGGGGATGTCCCACAAGGTCTGAAAGGGATTCCAATGCGATGTCGAACGGCAATGAAGAAAGCCACTTGTACATTTTCCCGTTTCATTTCAAAGACCTCCGGGTCAGCTTTCGGGGCCTTGCCAGGTCCATTGCAAAGGTGCACGACCAAGATTGCAACTGTGGTTGGAAGACTCTTGCTCGGGGTCTGGTCGTTCATGAACCCACCTCTATGGGCTATGCTGGTAGCAATCGTTGTGGCCTCCATTCCGGATCTACAAAGATTCTTCTTTGCGAACGGCACCTTTTTTAAGAATTCTGTGACAAGTGCCATACGGCAAAGTGGAGGAGTAGCCGTCCCATTGATCTTGGTCGTGCTTGGCGGAAATCTAGCGCGCAATACACTCCCAGCAGATCCAAGCCATACTAGAGAAGATGAGAAAGAAGAGACGAAGCTTCTCATCGCCTCCATTATCAGCCGCATGCTGCTACCATTCATCATCATGGCTCCTCTACTGGCGGTGACCGCAAAGTACGTACCCGTCAGCATACTGGATGACCCAATATTCGTGATTGTTTGCTTTTTGATCACCGGAGCGCCCAGCGCACTGCAATTGGCGCAGATCTGCCAGATCAACAATGTCTACATGGGGACAATGTCAAGGCTTTTATTCCAGAGCTACGTGGTTTGGATTCTGCCATCGACTCTGGTGCTAGTGATGTGTGCGTTGGAGGTTGTCGAATGGGCACAACGATAACGCGCATAATTGTGATAGTGTGCGTTCATATTTGCTTCTGTGAGTATTAGCTTTGGCGCTGGATTGGTTGTCGGCGGCCATTGACTTGTTGCATACGGATGCGCAGAAACCAACGCTGGGTCATGGAGAACGGCAGGCGATGTGGCTTTGCTGAAAGCTGAGCGAGATACCATTGAGAAGCCCAGCAAAGGTGGGGGTACGAATGGAATGGCCGGATATTCTGCGATCGAGAATAGACAAAAAGTACATCATTTCCAAACGGATGAGGCAGTGGAACGAGCATGTATTTGAAAATTAGCAGGGTCTCGAGGCTCTTTCGACTCTCTACCTACTTTATCCTTCTCGTCTCAAAAGAGCACTTTAACTCCTTTGACACGCTAGTGGTGGGAGAACGCGTTCCTACCACCACTACCAGTCACCGCAACCACCAACGCAGGCTCCAATCCCTTAAATTATCGGCCGCAAGGTGCAATCACTATACTCCGTACGGAGTACAAGACCGACACCATGTCGACCACAAAATGCTCCTTCAAGCGTCCCTTCCAGCCTAGCATCAGCTCGTATTTTGGCCACCCTACCCGCGACAGTGCCCAAACACCCGGCACCCAAGTGCACACACCAAGCTTTGCCCTCCCCAACACCATACAATCCTCTTTGCTGAACGTTGGAATGCGTGTTCGAAAATCCGTTCCGGAGGGATATCAGACGCAGCGGAAGTTATCTTGCGGCGTTCCCAGTGCCTATAATAATCTTACGCCGGAGCGCAACAGCGTCACCCCATCGCGCGGCTTCACCGGCCTGGTGCCATATTGCGGGATCCTCAAGATCGGTGGTCACAATACGCAGCCAGCCCCCTCCGAAGAAGATCTCCCGCCCTTGCAGTTTGATAGCGATGACTGGGGGTTTCTGTCAAGTCAAGAATCGAAAGCATCCTCCGATTCCCTTCGACCCATAGTCACTGTGCCCGTGGTGAGCAACCACAAACGCCGTCGCGAGGACGAAGATGACGAGTTGGATGTGGAATCGCAGCCCGTCTCTCCTCGTTCCTACCCCCCCATTCAGCCATACACGAATGCCAAACTTGGATCAATTGAGGCCCATCGCAGTGCCCAAGACGAGGAAGAAGCCCGTACTCGAATCATTTGAGCTGAAGGAGAGCGAGATGATTGACGTGGGAGGTTTTGGAGAGGCCGAATTCTTCCGGCCAGACGAGTGGGAAAATGATTGGGGTCATGCGAAGGAGACGTGAGAGAGAAGATCGTGGGAGAGCGAGAGTCTTTGAATGCTGTAAGAAATGAGGCGCAATGATACCCGGATAGAGTCCCTGTGAAACGCTGTTGTGCGTGTTCATGTTGATTTCTCACCCGCTTGAGGCCTTAGCAATTGGCTAGCGGCCTTCTTCATGGCAATGTCGTATTGTGTGTAAAGCCAATAACGGGTCGCGACAGCCGCTGTTAATGAGCCAGACAGATAACAGATACATGAGGAGAGTGGAGGAGATTTGATCTGTGTAAAAGATGCCTGGCAAGCTGCTTAGGACAGGTGACACTCATATTTGTACAATGTTTAATTAAAGGACCATCTCAAGACGATTTAACGTGTCGCTGAGATGGTCCTTACCGATTACTCTGAACACTTATTCAAAGGAAGTCCCGGTGCTCACTTCCTAGTAGGTGCTTTTTACTGCAGCATTGGATCGAGACTCTCCCCTAGTATCCCTTCGATCCCCACTACCCACCTCTGTACCTCTTTCTCCACCGCCTCATCATCATCCTCCAATGCCTCACTGATGAAAGGTAGCATCTCTGGCAGTAATGCTAGCCACTCCTCTCCTAGCCTCTCCGTCAAGGCTCGCTCACTCTGAATAGCGGCTAAACGGACCGCTGCTCTATCCGACCTCATGCATTTCAATATAGTAGCGTTCATCTCCTTATGGTGGGTGGCGGAATCCGTGGCGATCGCCAGCTCAGTGATCGCAGGAATCAGCTCAAGGACAAGGGGAGCTTTTTGGGCGTTGTCAAGCTGGCCCAGGAGCGCGGCCGAAATCGATGCGAAATGGGAGGGGGTTTGGTAGAAACCTGGACGGTCAGCTTTCAGTATATGCGAACGCAGAGAAAGAATTTTACCGTCTTGGTCGTGCTCGAAGGTGCTTTGGAGAGTAAGTATGACCTGTCGCCATAGAAGTAATGAGTCTTCGTCATTCAGGGAGATATCCTTGAGTATCTCTACGGCGTCGTCTATAATGAAAGCTGCGTAGCTGGTGACGATGGACTTGAGTATCATGATCAGCAACCGCTGTCTCGAGTCGTATTCCGCGAACATACCTTGAGAGTGCCAAAGAACTTGAGAAGGAAAGTGTACCAGCTTGTCTGCCTATGAATCATAGCTTTCATGTCTTTCTTTGATGTTGGACAGGTGGTCCATTCTAGCATTCGCGAAAACATAGGTCTAAACGTTGCGTCATTGAGTTTGTAGACCATAGAGATTGCGGTTTCGTTGACGGCGTCTTCGACTACTTGAATCTCCCCCATGTCATAACTATAGCCAGTAAGTGGTGACAGCTGGATTCTCCGTAAGTCAAAAATTCTTAGAAACAAGCCACCCAACGTCTCTGAGTGCTGAACAATCATCGATTTGGGCTGACGGTCGATTGTGAGACGCAAGATTTCAAGATGCTCCTTAACAGCCTGCCTCAAATTTAGTATACGAAGCCAAATTCAAGAGCCCTCTTCTGGACTTACCAGCGGTCCCTCAGTCATTGCAATCGTAAAAGTTCTATCCAAAGCAGCCAAGCAGTCCTTCGCTTCCACCTTTTTAGACATGAGTCGTAAAGCCTCAATGCGACTTTGATTACACTCTTCACTCATTCCAGCGTTAGCTGACTCAAATGATAGCTTCAGCACAGAGTCCATATCGGCGCTTGTAACCATCCATGGCACGTAAATGATGAGAGCGCCAAAAAATGAGTAGACTGCGTTGTGCAGGGCACCATCTTCTGTATCTTCGCCAATGCTGGTCGCCAAGCTGTCCATTGCCTTAGGAAGAGCGAGCGGTAAGATCGAAATAAAGCTATCGCTTGACACTTCGACAATTGTCGCGAGACACAACATAGAGATAGTTCGGAGACTGCTTTCGCTTGCCCTCAGGCATTCGTCTCCGGCAACGATTCTGGCACTGGCAACGATCGCAGCGACATCCTTCTTGCCGAACATTTCCGCGATACCATCTATACAAACAACAGCTGTGTGTTTTAGAGACACGTCTGCAGACTCCCTAATGATGGACGCGAGATGAGGGAGGAACGCGAGACACGCGGCCTGCGATGCTTTCAAGTCGAGCTTTTTGTCCTTGAGACGATCTCCGAATGATCGAAGTACCTGTTGGCGGATCTGAAGCGGGTAAGCTATAAGGTCTCAATTACTAGACACATCTACTGACGTTGTTCTCTGTTCGTGCAAGCAAACTTTGAATGCTTTCAATCAATTCCGATATAGGTAGTAATCTTAGGGATGCATCTAAAAGTTGCATACATAGTACATTCACTATGCTATCGTCAGTATTGATAATGTTTGAGTGTATCGCCTGGGCCACCAACATGTCTTGTTCCCTCTGTAATGCTCCAAAAGAGTGAACGTGTCTTCGAGGATATTTGCAAACAGAGCGCGGATCTTTGCAGCATCCTCGCCGCCGTCGCGTAGTCTTCTGGACGCCTTGGAGATCAGGTTCGCATCGCCGAGGATTGCAGGAGTCAATGGAAGTAAGTTTGAAGCAGCTCTGTCAACGTCATCGAGCTGCAGTAAAGACTTGGAAAAGGTTGGCTTTGGTTTCCGAGCATCTACAATTAAGCCCAAAAATTGTTTCACCATCTGCAAGACATCAGAGCCATCTACATGCAGCTTTTGGAGGATCTTTACCTGGAGGCGCGTCTTCACGCTGTAGCGGCTGGTAAGATCAGTGGCGAACTGTACTACACTTCTATCGCTCGGGTACTTGTCCAACAAGATTGCGGTCAAAGCGAAAAGATAGTCGCCAGCACCAACTTTGTTCACTAGTGATACAAAAAGATCGAGCCGTCGCTGGGCTGGTATATGCTCGTAGGCAGCGGCAAAACTCAGTAAAAGCTCGGAGACACCCACAAGTGGGCCATCTTTTCGTTTGTGTAGTGACTGTACCAGAGATGGGATAACTGATTCCATGGTCTGCACCTTCGTCAGCTCCGAGTTCAATACATCATGGCCCCAACACGCTCACCTGCTTTACCACATATGCCGAGAAATCATCATCCTGACGCAGGACGTTGGCACCCATGAATGTAAAAATAGGCATAATGCTGTGCAAAATCAATTCTGGGTTAAACTTTGCGAGAGCTGACACTAGCAGTAAAGCAGAATTGCGCACTTGAGAATTTGTGGTAGTCCTGATGCAGTCAATGAGAACGTCGGATCGAACCGATGCATGGTCAATCTGTAAGCCTGTTGGGGCCTGCCGCAAGTCAGCGTCCCTAGTAGACTTCCTTTGAAGCGTGGCATTACCGAATACGTACCTCGGCTCTTTTTACGATGGCAAGCATGCCTTCAATAGCCAGCACTTGAAGATAGCCTGTGGCTGTTGCTGGATGGCTTCGAGACTGTTGTAAGTCACACATGATCTGGGAGAGACCTCCTAAGAGTTCAGGATGGCGTTCAGTCTTGGCATCTCCTACTAACTCAAGGACAAATGTAATTTGCCGGATGGCAGATGCGAGATTGCGTTCATCGAGGGCGCCAGCATCATTCGAATGGCCGTGACTTGTCCGCTTGCGCTTCAACACTGGAGCCCCGTCCTGTAAAGCAGGCAAAATCGAAGGCACATTCTCTACGAAGGATCGGAGTGTAGCAGTAGAAAGTGGCAATGTCCGTAACGTTTCCATAGACTCAGCCTCTTGGTTGCCATTTGCCCCAGCTTCTACATTGCCAACAGCTGACTCAAACAAAGCTTTTGCCAACGAGGATTGGAGATCGATTTTGATGAATTCCCAAGTGATCTGTAGGCGGCGCAATGCTGCGGCTCTTAGACTTGGGAAGTTTAGGTTATTCAGAGGCTCGATGATAGACTTCAAGGTTTGAATACCATCACGATCGCCTGGTATAACGATGCTGACCAGTCTGTCCAGTAGCTGCGATGATACAAGCTGCTCCTCGTCGCAGATACGTTCAAAATCGTGTTGACCTCGTTTCAAAGTGTTTAATAGCAAAGGAAGCAATAACTTCGTACGCGAAGTGCTGCCCACCTTGGGCACCTGATTTAGCATCTGAAGTAGGCGAGATTTGACGGCGTATAGCGGTGTATTGACAACATGACTACAGATACTGCTGAGCAAAGCTAGCCGTAGAGACTTCTTCAATTCCCTTTGCGTAATGTTGGAACCTTTGCTGTGCTTTGGGCCGTTGAGGTTATCTGAAAGGAGCTGAGATACGTGGCTTTCATCAAGCATGCATTCTTCGAGATCTGGAACCATTAGGTCCAAGATGCTGTCGGTCTCTTTATTAGAAAGCCATGTCACTGCTTGAGTCTCACCGCCCTGACCATAAATTTGCTGCTGGCCCAATATTGGTCGATTGGTACTTTTATTTTCCTTGTCAGCCGTTTTCTTATAAGCAGGCGCTAGGACCAAGACAAGTTCTGCGGCTGCGCGGCGAACGCTGGGAGACGTATCAGCCAGCGCGTACAGTATGTACGGCAATAACATCTGCACATCAGCTGTAAGAGTTTCCTTCCTGAGGTATTCCACCACAGTCCGGATCGCTGCTGTTCTCGCTGTTGCTGAGCAATGGCCGCACCATATTCGGACAAAGAATGAAAGGAAAAGAGGCTCAGTCATTCCTAGGGACTTCCGAAGGACCGGTAGATTAGAAAACCTTTCTAGGTTCATTGTAGAAGTGTAGATCGAGAGAAAAGCGTGAGCCAGGCTGCCATAGACGTAGGAGTCTGAGTGTGACAGAAAAGATATCTCATAGGCTGTCCGTGTTGGGATTCGGCTCATTACAGTCTCGAAGTCGCCTGTCGTCATTTGTCCTTCTGCATTCTCCATGTCCACATCTTCAGTAAGCTGCTCAGGTGTGCTCTCTTTGCTATAATTTACCCGTCGGAGTCTGTTTTCCAGATATTTCAAGTCAAAGTTTGACTCTTCCATGGTGCTGTGTATGACAGCCCCAACATCTTTCGAATCGCACATAAGAAGAACAAGGTCTGCCAACGACCCTTGCACAT